AACACAACGCAACGCCTATAGGTGAAAATGAACAGTGATTTCACCTACCCCCATCACCGTCCAAAGTTTATCACGCGGTCACGATTGTTAAGTAGTGTTTTATTTTTTATTTTTTATTTTTTATTTACAAATCAGAATGACCTAAAATTTGTAACGTATATTCATAAAGAACAGTTCAATCTTCAAGAAATATAAAAAATATTTTATATGAAAAATATTGACCAAAATACCCTTAAAAAAGTTTCAAAGGTATTTTGATCAATGTTTTTTTTCGGATAATTTTTTTTATATTTTTATTAGATGTGTCTCAGTAAGATGTACACAACTTCCAAATTTCTGGCCATTTCGATTTGTAAAAAAAAAATGAAAAATAAAACATTATCAAACAATCGTGACTGTGCGATGAAATTTAGACGGTGATAAGGGTAGGCGAAATCACTATTCATTTTCGCCTATAGGTGTTGAGAAGACTTTTCCTATATATATATATAATTATATTTTTATTATGAGTAATGATACTATGACTTCCTCCCACACTTATATGAATAGGACCCCAAAGGATTACCATTAAATTCTGACACAGATCTTTAGAAAAGTTATCAATAAACCCATTCACCTAAGTCTCACACCCATGTGATAACTTATTTAGAGACCTGTGTCAAAATTTAATAGTGATCCTTTGGGGTTCTACTCACGTAAGTGTAAGAGGGTCTCATAGGGGCATTGTTCGTTCTTTTATATTATATATTATTTTATATCTATAAAATAATATATAAAATACTTTTCGAATCTAATTGGATCCAAATCCCATTGTATACTTTTGGATCTGGATCTGAATCCAAATATTTTGAATCCAATTTGGATTTGGATTCCATTTATCTGTATTAGATCTAATTCTGGATCCTAGTGAATGTGGAACTAATTTGACCCCTTCTCTACTCTAGTTACATGCTAGAAATGATTTTTTTATCCAGATTATAAAATTAAAGCTTTAAAAATAGTACAAACCTCCAAACACTCGAAAACTGTGAATCTTGATGGGTCTATTATATGATACATTATTTTTATTATTATAAATTATTTTTGTTCAAATATATCTACATGTCGAAATAATCAAATGGAAATATTTTTATTGTTGGATTAATATTTATAAGTATAATTTTTTGAGATGAGTCGTATTTTTGTAGTATAAGGTTGACACCTTACTTTTCAGTTCTGACATTAGAAAGCCTTCCTCTCTGCTTTTGACCATTATGGTTGTGAAAATTTTAGGATTTTCAAGCTTTAAAAATAATGTATATTATAACACATTATTTAGACCATTCAAATTGCCATAAAATAAAATATATACAAATTCACAAGATCTGCACCATTTTTTAGCTTCAGATTTCATAGTCAGTGTTGAAAATTAATTTTAGAACTATCATAGAGATTTTAAATGCCCAAAGTACTTTTCAGACGAGGATTCCAGGTGAGGCTTTACTTTATTTTTATAAAACCTAGGCCTTATAAAAACCGCATTCATTATAATATTATATAATAACAAGAAAAAGAGCTCACCTAAATCGATCCATTAGGGGTCATTTGAATACCTGAAAATATATTGTCTGTGAAATATATTACTGATGTAATACATTATTGCGTAATACATTACTTGCAAATGGATTATTACTGTTTGTATAGAATTTAGATGCAACCTGAATACATTGCTACTGTTTGGCTATGTCGGGAAGAAATATGGGAAATACATTACCAACATTTTACGTACACTTGACTATAAACTATCATTTATTTCGTTTTTTATCGCAAAATTCTGCTGAAATGCAAAATTAAAGTCATCATCACACCATTCCAAAAAGATTTTCTAATAATATCATCACCATTCCAAAAAGATTTTCTGATAATAACCTGTCACATTCTAAAGTCATCATAATACCATTTTCTACTTATTTTGTATACTTTGGCACTTACATCGAATTACATGTCTTCTAACATGATTAGACATTGATTTCAATATGATAAGTCATTAGAATAATATGATTGGAATAACATGATTTTATTGTCATGAGCCTTATTTTTATTTATTTTTTATAGAAGTCTTT